GCACACCCACGGCTCCCGTCTCCATGGCAGGCAGCCGTGCTCGTGCCACTCCATGGAATGCACCGGACCACCCCGGCCCCTGCTGGCTTCCACCTTCAGAACTGGGTAGCTGGTGTAAGCAGCTTATTCACCCGAAGAACCCGGGGGACCGGGGGCTTCATCGGGTTCCCGTTTATCCTCCCAGAGAGGGCGGTTCCCTGCACCTGACTCCTGACGGCTCAGCTCTGTCGGCCAAGGCTGTCAGCCGAGCTCCTCCGGGTGGCCGGCACCTCGCTCAGCTCTGGGTGGGCTGGCCCAGCTGCTGCCGCCTCCAGTCCGATTGGAGGGCCTCGTCTGGGGAGCAGGGGAGGTGCGCTGAACTCCTGGGCTGACCCTGCTTGTTGTCATTAGGAATGAATGAGTGGCAAGGAAAGCTAATTGTTAGCCGGTTGTCCCCTCTGGGAATGGAGACGCCCCATTTGCTGAAGATCACAAGAGGCAATCAACAGCGGGTAGGTGATCAGAGAAGGGCTGCTCTTGGAAGTCCAACCCCCTCCTCTCTTTCTGAGCTTTGCTTTACAAACTTACCTGAAGCCCTTAAAATCTGAGCTACTCGGGGACAAAATTAAAGCTAGCCTTCCTTAATATTTAAAAGCAGTCTCTCCCGCTAGCTAGGCCAGCACAGTGGCGCTAGAGAAGCAATGGCGAACCATTTAGAGACCAAGTGCCCAAACTGCAACCCAAAGGGACTTCTATTTTGCCAAAGTGCCAACACTACAATAAAACCTGAAAACTGAGGTTTTGGTTTGGAGAAAAACAACTTGCAGTCAGTCCTGGCAAATATATATATCCTTGGCAGCACGGTGACTGGCCATGCAAAAACTCAGGTGAGTCTCATCTGATGTATTGTGGCTCATACTGTCATCACCTGGCGCTGCTGCTCCTTTCCGAACATGCGCATGGCCCCTATGTGCATTCTTATCCGATGCTCGGCTGCTGGGGCGACGCTGGGAAGACTTATATCACAGAAGTGAGTACACCCCTCACATTTTGTAAATATTTTATTATATTTTTTCATGTGACAACCCTGAAGAAATGACACTTTGCTACAATGTAGTGAGTATGCAGCTTGCGTAACAGTGTAAATTTGCTGTCCCCTCAAAATAACGCAACACACAGCCATTAATGTCTAAACCGCTGGCTACAAAAGTGAGTACACCCCTAAGTGAAACTGTCCAAATTGGGCCCAAAGTGTCAATATTTTGCGTGGCCACCATTATTTTCCAGCACTGTCTGAACCCTCTTGGGCATGGAGTTCACCAGAGCTTCACAGGTTGCCGCTGGAGTCCTCTTCCACTCCTCCATGACGACATCACGGAGCTGGTGGATGTTAGAGACCTTGCGCTCCTCCACCTTCCGGTTCCGGATGCCCCACAGATGCTCGATAGGGCTTAGGTCTGGAGACATGCTTGGCGAGTCCTTCACCTTTACCCTCAGCTTCTTTAGCAAGGCAGCGGTCGTCTTGGAGGTGTGTTTGGGGTTGTGATCATGTTGGAATACTGCCCTGCGGCCCAGTCTCTGAAGGGAGGGGATCGTGCTCTGCTTCAGTGTGTCACAGGACATGCTGGCATTCAAGGTTCCCTCAATGGACTGTAGCTCCCCAGTGCCGGCAGCACTCATGCAGCCCCAGACCATGACACTCCCACCACCATGCTTGGCTGTAGGCAAGACACACTTGTCTTTGTACTCCTCACCTCGTTGTCGCCACACACGCTTGACACCATCTGAACCAAGTAAGTTTATCTTGGTCTCATCAGGCCACAGGACATGGTTCCACTAATCCACGTCCTTAGACTGCTTGTCTTCAGCAAACTGTTTGCGGGCTTTCTTGTGCATCATCTTTAGAAGAGGCTTCCTTCTGGGACGACAGCCCTGCAGACCAAATTGATGCAGTGTGCGGAGCATGGTCTGAGCACTGACAGGCTGACCCTCCACCCCTTCAACCTCTGCAGCAATGCTGGCAGCGCTCATGCGTCTATTTCCCAAAGCCAGCCTCTGGATATGATGCTGAGCACGTGCCCTCAACTTCTTTGGTCGACCATGACGAGGCCTGTTCCGAGTGGAACCTGTCCTGTTAAGCCGCTGTGTGGTCTTGGCCACCGTGCTGCAGCTCAGGTTCAGGGTCTTGGCAATCTTCTTATAGGCTAGGCCATCTTTATGTAGAGCAACAATTCTTTTTTTCAGATCCTCAGAGAGTTCTTTGCCACGAGGTGCCATGTTGAACTTCCAGTGACCAGTATGAGAGAGTGGGAGCGATAACACCAAAATTAACACACCTGCTCCCCATTCACACCTGAGACCTTGTAACACTAACGAGTCACGTGACACCAGGGAAGGAAAATGGCTAATAATGCCCAATTTGGACAGTTTCACTTAGGGGTGTACTCACTTTTGTTGCCAGAAGTTTAGACATTAATGGCTGTGTGTTGAGTTATTTTGAGGGGACAGCAAATTTACACTGTTATACAAGCTGAATACTCACTACCTTAGATTGTAGCAAAGTGTCCTTTCTTCAGGGTGGTCACATGAAAAGTTTAATATTTACAAAATGTGAGGGGTGTACTCCCTTCTGTGATAAACTGCAGCTCACATGCCAACAGAGGGCTCCGCATGCCAACTTTGGCATTGTTGCCACTGGCCCAAACCTGCCAAGGTGCACACCTCTAGCCCGAATATAGGGAGAAAGTTCCACTGAAACGAGAGTGATTTGGAAAAAGCCTTGAGTTGCTTTTGCTGCACAGCTCATCTTTTCTGCCCGTTCTAATCACATTCCAACCATCAAAACCATGCCAAGACATCTCCTTTGTCTAACCCTAACCCTACCCTAGTGCACACCCCTAACCTTAATATAGGGTGAACTTTCAATTGAAAATGGCTATTTAAAAAACCCTTCCTTGAGTAGCTTTTTCTGCACTGCTCATCATTTCTGCCCATTTAAAATATATTCCAACCATCAAAACCAAGCCAGGACACCTCATTTCTCTAACGCTAACCCTACCCTGGTGCACATCCCTAACCCTTATGTGGGGAGAAAGTTCTATTGAAAAGAGGGCGATTTTCGAAAAGCCTTCCTTGAGTAGATTTTTCTGCATTTTTACTGTAAATTGGTCATGCTCCAATCCTTGGGACAAACACTATTTTTAAGGGATCTAGGAAATTACAGGCCAGTTAGCGTAACAATTATTCTGAGTTTGAAAGCATGATTAAAGACAGAACAGGTGAGCACATAGAGGGACAAGCCCTGCTGAAAAAACCCAGCATGGCTTCAAGGGGAAAGCCTCGTCTCGCTAAACTCCTGGAGTTCTTTGAGAGGGTCAATAAGCGTGTAGACGGGGCAATCCAGGGGCAGCATTTTCTTGGATTTCCCTCATCGAAAGCTCCTGACCAAACTAAGCAGTCATAAAGTGGTGGGTGGTGGGGAAATCCTCTTTTGGATCACTAACTGGTTAAAGAACAGAAGGCAGAGGGTGGGAAGAAACGGCAGCTGGTCCCCGTGGAGAGATGCAACAGTGGAGGCTTACAAGGTTCTCTGTTAGCACTAATGCATTTTGCCCTATTCAAAAATGGTATGGAATTCGGATTAAGCAGTGAAGTGGCCAGTGTGTTGATGACACCGAACGCTTCAGAGAGGTTAAAACCACAAGGGGTTGTGCGGAGTTCCAAAGGGACCTCTCCAAGCTGGGAGGAGGGGCATCAAAATGACAAATGCCCTTCAATATAAGAGAAATGCGTGTGGGGGCAAATCCCCAACTTCGGGTCCAGGCTGATGGAAGCAGAGCTAGCAGTGCCTACGCATGGAAGGGCTCCTGGAGCAGCGGCGGACAGCTCCATGGAAAGGCTGACCCAGCGCGCAGCTGCCGTGGAGAAGGCAAGCTCAGTGTGAGGAAGAATTAGGAACAGAACGGAACATAGAACTGCTGAGGTTGTACTGTTCACACAAGTGTTGCTGCATCTGGAATACTGCATTCCATTCTGGCTGCCTTACCTGAAAAGAGGCATTATTGACTGGAAATTAAATAGAGAGAAGGGAAAGGGGAATAACTAGGGGGCTGGAGCAGCTCCCCTGTGAGGAGCAGCTGCAAGAGGCAGGACCAGGGGCTGCCCTCCAAAGAGGGACGAGCAGCAAAGCGGAGAAAAGGGCAGGGCCGGCGGCAGTGCCTGGGAGAGAGGAGGAGGGAGCCCACGCCGGTCTCCTTGGCCCACATCCTCTTTCCTGCTGCTGGAGAAGGCAGGCACCAGATGAGGAGGGCTCAGGCTCAGCTCCTGCACAGCCAGTCCCGCATTAAAGGATCGGCAGCAGAGCAGATAGCTAAGAACCTGCCAGGGGCTGCCTGAAACTAGAGCCGGCTTCCTCCATTTCTCCTCCCCCAGCCCACTTAACAGCCTCAACAAGTCCTTGTCCTGGCACAGCCACGCAGTGGGGCCCCGCCACCCCCCCCCCGCTCCCCGCAGGTGAGGCCAGGCTGGTGGGGACACAGGAGCAAGTGGCTTGGAAGGATCAACAGGCAACCGCCTCACTGAGCCCTGCAGTGGGGCCTAACTGGCTGCACGCGGAGGGACCCCTGCCCTACTCAGGCTGCATTATCACCCATTAGCCACGACGGAAGAAGGAGGACGCAGGGCTGGGCGGGGGCGGCCGCAGGCAGAGCAGCCCCGGCTCGTCACTCCTCATTGGAATTCTGACTCCCAAACGCGGAGGGGGAGGGCGGGTGACGGAGATTAATCTGCGCAGCAGCACAGCGACTGCCACTCAGCGACTGCTCGCGAGCCGGCGGCACATTAAATCACCGCGAAGGAATGGGGAGGAGGGGGCAGGAAGGTCCCCACCGTGGGGATTCCCTCCCCCATCAGCCGCAGGAGCCAGAGCGGAAAACAGGAGCGTTTGTGCCACCAGCTGGCAGGTCATAGGAAGCGCCACTTGCGCGGCTGGCGAAGTGCCTTCGGAGGCCAGAGACCGAGGCTCTCATTCAGTACTTTTATTCCAAAAATAAACTCCTATCGAAGGGAAAGCAGGCTTAAGTTAAAGCGGTGTGGAAGCGGTGAGCGAGCGGGGGCACGATGCCTCGCAGCCCCGTTACCTCCTCTTCTCCTTCACGCTGTAGTGGAGCAGGAGCGGGGCCGGCTGCAAGGCAAGAGCACGGGGTCAGGGCCGCCGCTCGGGCTGCGCGCAGGGCCCACCCCGTGGACCGGCTCCCTTACCTTGCCGTACCAGCGCGAGAGCCACAGCTGCTTCAGAGTCAGGTGGTCGGGGAGCACCTCGCTGTTGAGCAGGACCTGCAGCTGGAGAGAGGGCAGGCACGTCCCCCAGAGCGGTGTCTGCGGAGCCCCCCGCCCCGGACCCGCTCCCTGCGGCTGCTGGCACTGGCCATCCGTCCAGCCCCGCAACACCCCGGGGATCTCCCTGCCGGTGCGGCCGGGCGGGGGCTCACTCACCTGCGGAAGGGGCAGCTCCAGTCGGCAGCACAGCACTCGGCGGAGGTGGCGGATCTGCGCCCGGACAGAGCAGCGGACGTACTTGTGCTGGCAGAGTGAGCAGAGCATGACTGGGGGCAGCAGAAAGCCGGGCAGGCCGGACACCCCCCTCACCCCTCCTCTCTTAGGGAAGGGGCAGCCCCAGAAGCGGCTGTGGGCAAGAGGCGGCCTTCCGTGCCCCCCCACCTCTGGGCTCTGGCTGTGGGGGGGCGCCCCAACACAGCCAGCCTGCCGCGCAGGGCTGAAGGGCAGCCCTCCTCCCCGCTCACCTGCAGGACGTGCTTGTGCTTCTCCTTGCCAGAGCTGCAAAGAGAGGTGGGGTGGGGAGGCAACAGGTGAGGAAGAGGAAGCAGGGCCCGGACCCCTCCCCCCCCCGCAGGAACAAACAGGGCCGTGCCTCAGCACAGCTGCAGGAGCCCAGAGCCAGTCCCGCTGCTGGGAGCACAGGAGGCCGTGGGCACAGCTGCAGGCTGGCACTCAAGGCAGGGCACCCCTTTCCAGGCACCGCTCTGCTGCCGGGACGCAGCCCTGCTTGCCGGAACGGGGCGCTGAGAGCCGCCTGCCTCCTCTGAGGCCCCGGGAGCCGGGCTGGGGCAGCAAGCGCCCGTAGCCATGCTGGAGCACTGTGGCCAGCGCTACGGGCGCAGCGGCGCCAGGAGAGCCCCCTGCTGGCAAGTGGGTGACCTGGGCTGGCGCAGCGGCCCCTGCTGGCACGCAGGCCCTCCTCTTCCTGGAAGGAAAATAGCGCCACCACGCTTCCCCCAGAACCAGCAAAGGATCGGCAGTGCTGGGCCGGGCCTGGCCTGGCCCGGGGAAGCCAGGTCCACCTCCCTGCTCCGGTCTGGCCTTTCTCCTCTTCCCTGCCGCGGATGCCACTGACGAGCAAGTGGGTCGATCCTTGTGCGCCGAAGGGGCCTGCAATGCTGCCAGGTGGCTGAGCCAATGAATCAAGCCCGCCTGCCACTGCGCGGCACTCGAGCGCCTACCCCCCCACCCAATTTCCCTACTGCCTACGTCTCCCCAGGCTGCCTGGAGGAGCAATGGCATCGCACAGTCCCCTCGGAAGCTTCCACACTCGGAAGCGGAAGAGAAGGTGTTCCCACGGAGCGCCCGACCCCCGGCTGAGCTCGGCCAGCGCCTCCCCGCTCCTGTCCTGCCCGCCATCCCACTCACCCCTGCTTCTCCAGGCAGAGCAGGACGTGCTCGTCGAAGCGGTGGTAGTGAGCGCGCGAGTGGTCGAAGGCTGTGTACGGCAGGCCCACGTGCTCAGAGGTCGGATCTGGGGCAGAAGGGCAGAGTCAGGCCTGCAGGTGCTCACCGGGCCTCCCACAGCCCGCGAAGCATCCCCAGAAAGGATCCCCCCTGCCCCCAACACCCATCCCGCAATTCAGGCTCCTGAGCTGAAGCGGGGCTGGGCCGGGCGGGGGGGATGCAAAGGGAAACTCGCACCTTCGCCGCTGGGCTGGCTCACACGCTCCAGGCCTCGGGACTGGTAGAACTCGCGGATCCTTCGCTCCTCACCTGCAAGGTGAGCAAGGGAGCAAGAGGGAACCTGAAGAGCTGAGCCGTGCACATCAAGCCGGGCGTGCTCTGCTCGTGCCGCGGCTGCCCACAGGCCGGGCAGGAGTGCGACAGCCCCTTCCGTGCATATCCCCAGGCGCTGGTGCACACAGGCAGTCTGCCTCTGAACCCGAAGGTAGTCCAGAGCCACTGGGATTCATAACCACCGACTACCTTCTCTGCTATGAGTCTGTCCAATTTAAAGGTGTCCAAACTGGTGGCCGTCTCGACACCTGGAAGGAGATTCTGCTTTGACTACACCCTGGTGGAAGAGCACCAGTGGCTGAGTGCGCTGAGCAAGGCTCAACAGGCCCCCTCCAAAGCAGCAGGTCTCCCGTTACCCGTGAGCAGGACTGTGGAGCCGGAGCCGGAGATGGAATCAGAGTCGGAAGCAATTCTTGGGTTACCGGTGTTGGAGTCAGAGTCAAGAAAAATATGCTGCCTCCAATTTTGAATAAATTTAAATCATAATATAAATAATATATTGGGAGCTTGGGAGTGCTCCTCGACCCTGAGCTTTCACTTGAAGCTCAGGTGACAGCGGTGGCGAGGAGCGCTCTCTTTCAGCTTCGGCTGATCCATCAGCTGCGTCCCTACCTAGAGAACAACAGCCTGGCGACAGTGACCCACACGTTGGTAACTTCCCGATTAGATTTCTGCAACGCGCTCCACGTGGGGCTGCCCTTGAAGATGGTCCAGATACTTCAATTGGTGCAAAATAGAGCTGCCAGGTTGCTAATGGGGACTGGGCATTATTCTCATATAACCCGTTCTCCATCAGCTCCACTGGCTCCCCATTGAAGTCCGGGCCCAATTCAACGTGTTGGTTATTACCTACAAAGCCCTTAACGGCTTGGGTCCTGGTTACCTAAAGGAGCGCTTACGTCCATACGTGCCCTCCCGCCCCTTGAGATCAGCAACGGATGCCCTTTTCCGGGAACCCTCCATGAAGGATATTAGGAGGGTGAGCACCCGGAGGAGGGCTTTCTCTGCGGTGGCGCCCTATCAATGGAATGCGCTCCCCACAGAGGTCTGCCTGGTGCCGTTGTTATTTGCTTTTTGGCACCAGGCCAAGACCTTTTTATTTAAATGGTATTTTAATTGTTAGCTTATTTATTGATTTTATATCTTTGGCCAGGGCATTTCCAATTATATTGTTTTTATATGATTATATGTATTTATTTATTGTTGTAAGCTGCCCTGAGGCTTCGGCGAATGAGGCAGCATAGAAGTTTACTAAATAAATAAATATGTTAAAATTTCCTACTTCACAGACAATTTGCTTCACCTATTTTTCCAGTGTACATTTTCTGGATATATTTTAATTTCATATATTAGTGAAAGGGGTGCCCCATGAAAAAATTCACAATGGCAAAAAATGCATCAACAAAGCCAGTTGTTTCTGAACACTTTACAGTAACAGATGGAAAATTTTATGGATGTCAATGTATTATAGAAGATGATGCTTGTGAAAAAGCACATGTTGCAAAAATTAGGAGATGCTGTGGTTCTGCACCTACAAGAGCAAAACATTTAAAAAGACACTTGCAGCACTTCGTAGGCTGAGTGCTTTCAACAATAATTACCGTATTTCCTTCCTATGCTGATGTATGAATAAAGGAGTCGAAGTCAAAGGTACCCTAAACTGAGCAGCCAAAGCTGGGCTCAGAGCTGACGGTGTTCCGTACCAGCTCCACAGGCCTGCCCGCCAGCTCGATGGCTCAAGGTCTGACCCAGCACGGTGCAGGCTGCCTCTGCAGAAGCCTCCCCACCCGCAGGCCAAATCCCCAGCTGCGCCAGGCGCCGCCGCCTCCTTCACAGACGGGGAGATGGCCACAGGGCTGCAGGCCCAGTGTCCCCGGGAGCTGGCCGAGTCCAAGGGCTGCTGCTCCCCTCCCGCCCTGCTCCCGGCACTTACTCTCCTGCAGGCGAGGGACCAGCTTGTAGACAATGTCCTGCATGACGCGGTCGAGCTTCAGGTTGAGGAGCGGCTGCGTCTCGTGGATCTTGGTGCTGCACATGGGGCAGTACTTGCTGGTCTGCAGGTACTTCACGATGCAGCTTTTGCAAACTGCGGAGCAGAGGGTCGAGCCCTTCAGATGCTGCCCCTGAAGGCAGCGCAAGGCCCAGGCAACAGGGCGCCCACGCAGCAGGTCTGCCCCAGTGCTTGGGAACCTTTCGTAGGCGGCCAGGACCACCACAGATACTCCTGTGCAGCACTGGAAGTGGCAGGGAGGGAGGAGAGAGCCCTATCCTGACAGAACACACTGCCTATTTTACACTTGCCTGCGCTGCCCTTCCACCAACAGAATTCAAGGACTGGGCAACAGGCATACATTACACCCTAACATGGGAAGACCAGCACCTTGATGACTGGAAAGCAAACCAGCAGCTAAAAACAAGCAATTAAGGCACTGCAGCACTTAAAAATCCCGGGAGAAATGTATCCTAGTGCGAAAAGAAATGCAGTGCCAGCACCATGCTAGAAGTGTAAAACTTCCTGAAATTCTGAAGCCAGGCTAAAACCTGTAGGTTTGAAGGGGACACTCCGGGATAAACTGAAAGACAGATAATCTCTCTCTCTCTCGCTCTCTCTTAGCAGTTTACAGATCTAAAGTCACTTTATTGTTTAGGACAGCCTTCTCCAACATGGCGCTTGCCAGATGCTTTGGTCTCAGCAGCCACAGACAGTCTGGCCAGTGGGCAGGAATGCTGGGAATTGCAATCTGAAACATCTGAAGGACACCAAGCTGGGGAAGACAGTTCTGAAAACACAACTTATGAATAGTTTGGCTTCTTCATCAAATTATCATCGAAACTAAAAATTTCTAATGAAAACTTTAGAAAATGCGTAATTCTTGTTGCAGTAAAGTATAGCTTTAAATTGACATGGAAAGCGCACTGGTTGCACGAGACAACAAAATTATATGTAACACGCTTTAAGTGTGCTGTGTCCCTTGCCAACAGGGACTGCCAGCAAGGGGCCAGGAGGGTGTTCCCACGGCCAGGGCGGCCCCCCCCCCGATCCCCGCCGGACTCACAGGTGTGCAGGCATTCCGTGATGGTGGTGGCATCGATGAAATAGCCCGCGCAAAGGAAGCACACGATGTGCTCGTTCAGCTCCTTCATCTTCACTTTCACCTCCTCCTGCGAAGGACAGGCGGCCCGGGCTGACGCATCTCGCTCCCCGCCGGCAGCGGCGCCTCCCCGGCCCGGGCTCCCCGCGCCCCGCCTCGCCGCGAGTGCCGCCCGGGCCGGGCCCGCCGC